TTGCATAATCAATTACATATCTGATACAAGTCATATAAAACAGCACTAAGTCTTCAATAGGTAGCTTTGCTCGTTTTAGTTGGACTAGAAAATATAGTCTTTTGCTAGCTTTCTTTATGACCTTTTCAATATGGGGATTCCATGTTAGTTGGTTTGTAAGAGTAACTCCCAAACGTTCGACGGTATCAACTACATATAACTCCTTTCCATCGACCACTACAGGATAGAAGGCACGGGGTTAATTAGAAAAAGAGATTCTCAATTCTTTACATTTGTCCGGGTTCAATTGAACTATATTCTCGGAAGACCAGGACATAACTTTATTTGCCATATTCTGAGCGTCACTGGCTGCATCTTTATAAACAATCTCTGACGTTGTCATGTCATCAACATATTTCCAGATTCCGTGATTTTCAATATCTAAGTCGTTTATCATCTGCAGGATGAAGGAGCCATGGCCCCAACTTGGTTCCTTGTGGAACTCCAGAAGGAACCATGTGCCCCATTCAGAAGTTAAAAAGTCAATAATCCAGTTTATCACACTATTTGGGAGATCTAGGTTACATAATTTGCCAATAAGTATACCATAGTCAATAAGATCAAATGCTTTGCGATAGTATAATATTATAGTTCTAATTGTTGATCCATTTCCATCAGTAGCTAGGCACCAAGTATGTAACATGTCAATTATTGCCATTGTTGTGGAGGATTTTGGGATGGCTCCATATTGATTAATATCAAGTACATTTAAAATAGCTGGTTTAACGTATTTCTCAACCAATAGTTCTTCCGCGACTTTAGAAACAGATGGCGTTAACGAGATAGGTCTTAAATCTTTCTTAAGATTCCGTACTGGTTTAATTTTTGGTATTGCTGACACGTCTGCCGTCTTCCAAGCTGCGGGTAGACATTGCTCAGAATATGAGGCATTTAAAATCTGGGTAACTGGTAAAGCCATTATGAATGAATATTCTCTAAGCAGCCAGTTAGGTATTGCGTCTGGTCCTGATGCTTTCTAGGGGTTGAGTTTGGCCAAAACCTTTTGTACTTCCATTTCAGTTACTTCTAGAAACTCAGGAGACTCTTCTAGCGAAAGGCGTGTTAATGGAGTTGTTAGTCTATATTCTTCGAGAGGTTCCAGAAAAGCTAAATTAATAGCATTAGCTTGTTCGTATTGTGCGATATTTGAAAACCCATCAATGTTCGAATGGGCGAGCGGATCCTGGTCTGTTATCTTCATATTACTAAGACGTTTCACTTGAATCCACCATTTCTTTCGATGCTCTCCTTTCAGTTGTTGAAATTTTGAATCTTTGACTCATAGTTTTTAGCTCTGCATATCTTTTTCTCTCTATTGACTAGATTCCTGTAATACTTGAATAAGATAGAGTTCACCCCATTGATGGTAAACGCTTGCTGCCTTTTCGCAATGAGAGATTTTAGTTTATGGTTCATCCATGGGGCATCCGCGTTACAGACTCAAATTTGTTTTTTTGGCATAATTAAATCAAGGCCAATGTGCACTATAGTATGAACTGTGTTCCACATTTCATCACCACTACCCGACGAAGCGAACATCAAAGACCAGTCAATGCTGCCTAAATATCTCCCCATTTCGTTTTTACGGCTAGTCCGACGACCGCGACTTGTTATCAGTTTTTTCTTATTAATTTTATTTAGATCTATTAGTTTTTGGAAATGCAACAACTGTGTTGTGGTCAGATAAACCAAAAGGTGGATAGACTTTTGGCGCCGAGTAGTTCTTGTGCATGTTAGTTAGAATTAGGTCTAGAATAGCATTTCCTCGAGTAGATGCTTTCACTATCTGTTTCAAACGAAAGTGGTTCAGTAGTCCATTAATATTTAACCGATTAAAATCCCCAGTTATCAGGAGGCCACATTTTGGATATCTTGATTCGGCCAAAGTAAGCGATTGAAACAAATGTTCTCAAATGGATCTCTCTTCGGCTCCAGGGGGGGTGGTGGTGGTATATCACTGCCCCGATTATACAAGAAAAGCCTCGAGCTAGGCGTCGAGGTCTTAAACGAAGCTCAGTTGACTGTAACTGTCAACTGATCATTTAGTTGACTGTAACTGTTTACGTTATGATTAATGTAAGCACATACCCCACCGTGGTTATCTCTTCCCCTATCTCTGCGGAACGTAGTGTAGCCAGGGATTGCAACAACACTATCTTGAATTAGCCCTTTCAACCAGGTCTCAGTGATAAATGCCAAGCTTATTTCGTAACGGAGACGAAATTCTCTCAGTTCGTCAACCTTTGGAACCAATAACATAACATTGGTCAGCAATACTTTAGGTACATGTTGTGTGTCAGAAGAATTAGTCTGAATACTTGAAGTTGAGGTAGGTGGTAGAGTCTCGATTTGAATTAAGTTATTCAGATTTCGTGCATGAGGAATCAATATTATATTATTGTGATTCATTATTTTAGTACCAGCATTCCCTCTTATGGTATTATTACGCAAGGTTATTCTCACGGGTATATTATATGATTTATAGTTGCTATTCATGGGGACAAGGTTTAAACTAGGGTCTCGGCATACGATACTCGGTAAGGGAGGTAGTTGTTGTGGTACTACGTTGGGAGGACCATATGGGAGTCTTAATTAGGGGATAAAACGTGGGAAGATGGTAAAATGGGTATTTCATCGGTGGAAGGATTTGATAGAGATGCAAAGTTCGTTTGTGAAAAGGGGATGGCCGGTCTTGTTTCTGACAAAATTGGAGGGATTGCTGTGGGCTGATACTATGAGAGAAATCGCAATTGGAACCCTTGAGGCAATGTCCTTTCTTGTACAGGAAGGGGCATCGCACTAGATGTTTCGGAGTCGGATAATTTTGACGATATTTGCCATTGGGTTTTTTTAGGTGGGGTTTGTCGTTGTGGAAAAAATCACATAAATTGCCTTTGGTGCACCAGCCATGTTTGTGAAGAAACGGGCACGGGATGGTATGCTTTGGAGGTTGTTGTATAGAACTTAAGTCAGGGTGAATTGTGTTTTTATGGTGTTTATTCTGTGGTTTGATGGCCGTGATCTCGTCTTGGTTATTGCATGTAGCATTGCTCTCTTTATGTGTTGATAAACTTTGTTGATGAATCTGAGGGGTTTTGAGGCTAATTGGACTTGCATTGTTTACTGATAGTTTGGATTTCAGGATTTTTCCTCACTTCTTTATAAATATTCAGTCTTTATATTATCCTTCATTTAATCATGCTTTATTACATGCATCTGTTTCTAGTATACCCACTCACATTCAATACTTTCAGACATTTTAGAATCTTGACGAGTGTGTGATTTCTAAATTGGTATTTCTTCTGATACCATTTCTTATTACAGTTTTATCAATAAGCATTCCTTGGTTCCCTTGGATTTTTTCTTGCAGCCATTCTGTTCTGGTGGTAACAGATTTAATCTCTCCAAATGCTCGTATATTTTGTTAGAGATTAATACTCTTCTGCAGGACCATAAGACAAGTAAGGGTACCTGATGGGTGCGGCACACTTCCTCCCCAAAGATTTTGAATTGCCATGAATATTGGAAAATTTATATATCTATTTGGAAATAAAAATGTCTCACAGAAAATGACCACATGCATTCATATATACAGTACTCAGTACGAAGTAATGAGTTTGTATCCAGAAAATTGAATCCTATATTCAGGTTCTTTTCAGTTCGATGTTTTCATATCGGTTTTGAGGCTTTTGCTGTTTTATGTTCGTAACTCTTCTTATGCCATGCATTTGCATGGAGACTGATCTTCATGGGTTATAAAAAAATTTTAGGAACTAGAATACGCGTTTTGGAAATTATGAAATAATTCACTCAAGAACACTTCATCTTGTGTGTCAAAAATCATTTTCAGGAAAATAAATCATTTTGATCAGTTTACCTTGTCCTGATGAAAGCGGGGGAAGTGATCAGGGAGTGTTGAAAAACAATACAAATATCGGAAAGTTTTGGATTGTGTAATATTCAATGCAAACAAACGTTCTATCTCTTGTTGTTTGTGTTTAAAATTTTTCTTCTTCATAATCATGCACTAGGCAGACATTCGCTTGAAACTAAAATGATATAGAATCGCATCATGTAGATATATGACTGGGTGCATGGGGCTATATACTTTTTATCAATTTAGGGTTCATCAATATGAGCTTCATAATGGGCAGGGGTAGGTCTCATGAGATGAGAATCTTTCTTCCCACCCTAAGGTTATAAATAATGAATAGTCCTTTATACCGATTATGATTTTCATAATTAGTTCGTAATTCTTGAAAAGCTGCAGTAGAGAAGAAATTGGCTGTTTATACCTGCATTAAAATGTTTTGGTAAATAACGGAATTTGACCTGCTTCAAATACACCATGCGGGCGATACTTAATAGTGAGGTTTAGTTTCGATTTCCTCTACCGCCACCTATTAAAGAAGACGTACGCGCATGCATGTGATTGGTTAATCGGCCACATTAAAGATTGACATCTGATTGGTTAATGGTCTCCTTACAGTCGGTAGTGGAAGTTACATCTAAACGCAATTTTATTTGTAGTTGGATATTAATGTTTTGTAGTTATTACCATGCATGTGTTGTTCATACCATCGATAACAGGTTTTAAAAGACTATTTTGCGTTTAATTAGATTTATTCTTAGGCTGTTTGGTAAACGTGCCATTTTGTAGCGGCGATTTTTTTGGGTTTCAGGCTTTGGTACTGCGAACATGAATATCACAAACATTTGATCACGAACATGCGGAAATACCTTGCCATGTACAATTGTACAAAGAATGCAGGCCCTTTAATACCAACCAAAAAAGGCAGCAAAATTGTGAAATGGACAGCAACTCATAAGACCAAACTTATAACTAACGTTTCGTCCATGACTGGCTTTCACGCATTATGCAGAGCATTAAAAATTGCATTAGGGACCGGTCATTATTTATGGCGGGGATGTGGCACCGAAGAGAAATGTTTTTCGTGGAAAAAATTTTGCTGACCCAACATTAAAAATTCAAAACATTTGATTACCCAACCTCAAATATCAATTAAAAAATAAATACCTACCACTGGTAAAAAAATCACAAAAGAATACCATGCAGTCAGTTGTCAAACATGTCCTTTATTACTTCTGTGACATGAGTTTAGGGGCCGACCACTTAACTTTTGAGGGGGGGGGGGGGGGATTTTGAAAAAAAAAATTCCTGCAAGGCTATTCTGGACAAAAAAAAATACCTGCACTAAGGCCTGGTTTATACAGCGTGCTATGAGCGCACCGAACCAATTACTTAACTAATAAGTTCGCTCATAGCACACTGTCTAAATCAAATTGGTTCACTCTCTGAATTAGGTTCGCTCCTGACCGTGCGGCTCGCTCGTCGAAGGCGTGCCGAACGCTCGTAGCACGGTTAAGCACGCCTCTGATTTAAACCACAGTGCCATCAGCGAACCATATTGCAACAATATGAGACGCCATATTGTATTAATGTTATGCTTCTTATACGCCCAGACTCTTTATCTCAAGTTCTCAACTTTAAAAATTGGCTCGCTCAAATACGTTACGTATAAATCAGAATGCGTGCTAATAGCGTGCCTGGCCGTGCTAATTTAAAAATTGGTTCGGTTCGCTCATAGCACTCTGTATAAACCAGGCCTAACAAACTGGGGGAAAAATATCCTGCCCCAGTATTTGGTGGGAAAAAAATGTTGCAAAACAGCATAGTTGCAGGGATCGATTTGACCAGTCCCAGAAGATCAGCTGGTTTGATTTTCAGGGACTGGTGTAAGGTTAATTTCTTGTTGGAAAACTCTTCAAAATGCTGGAAATAGCTTATCTGAGCTTCAAAAAATCCAAAATTTTCTGGGGGGAGGCATGCCCCCAGACCCCTCTAGAGGCTCGGACCTTCGGTGGTCGACTCAGTTGTTGCTGCCCTATGACGTATACTTATTAGTTAAACCATGCATATATATGCTGTAGGTAGCTGCAGTGATACAGACAGGGCTGTAGCAAGGGGGGTATTGGGGGTGGTTAACCCCCCTCCCCCCCCAACTTTTTTAGAATCAACATATTCAGAAAATCGGGTTGGCCATTCGGAAAATTAGTAGAACAAAGTTTTAGTTGTTAAACATAGAAAATATTATAAAATTGTATTGTCACTATAAATTGTAAGCAAATTGTAAATTTCGTCATACTAAAACGCTTTTTTCTGACCATCAGCATTCTGTCAAAACTTCCCCAAAGTCCAGGAAATGGCATTTCAGAGACTCGAAATTTAAAAATTTCCTCGGGCCTCCGGCCCTCGTTTTCTGCCCCCAATAAACAAAAGCTCCCTACCGCACTGCTTCTGTAATATGTCTGTGCGTAAATTATGCATATTTTTGTTAATTGTAAATCGCGTCTTCATTTTCCGAATAGCAAACACCTTCATGGCTAATAGTATGCCATGATATATTCGGAAATTATTTTCGTCATTTGGAAATTTTTGGCCTACACCCCCTCCCCCAACTATACATGCTAGCTACGGCCCTGGATACAGACTTGTCGACTGGAACTTTTCCAGGTCCTCCGCTAATTATGTCCTCTCCAGTTGCACATCCTTTAAAAAGGCACTGAACAAAATGTTATACCTCATAGCAAAATGTATTATTAAGAGCAATGCATGAAGCTAAAAAACTCAACGTTAACTATAATCTAAATAGTATAAGCTATTGAAAAAAAAATGCTGCGAAAGAAAGTGTGGAAAAAAAAAAATCGTACATGGTGACGGTGATAAAAAAAATATCTTGCACATAACGATCCCAGAAAAAAATTCCCTGCCAGCAGTAAATCACCCACCCACCCCCTCAAAAGTTAAATGGTCGGCCCCTAATGGTCACTCCTTGCATGAAATGTTAATTTATCCCAAAGTTTGAATAAATTAATCCAAGATTGCATTGTTTGCATAATAATGTGCTTGTCATTGACCAATCAGAATACATAGAAGACCGGCCGGCGCCAGGGCCTTTTCCCGCCTTCCCAATGACAAAAAGAGAAAAGCCCTGGGAACGAGGTTGGTTAAAGTGTATATGCAATGAAAATTTCGAATTTCTGATTTTTGCATTACCTGAAAATTTCATCTTTTCTGATCATTTTAATATCAACCTTGTTGAAAACTTCGAACTAGAAGTTTGTGAATTTTTAGTTTAAAGTTGGGCTATGAAAATTTTAGCTGATGGACTCCTCGCGCGGCCAAGAGGTCATGGTGACGTATGCAGTGTGACACAGTGCGCTCTTCCTATCTGTAAATACTATAAACAATCTAGCTTCAACTGCGTTGAATTGGGATTTTTTGATAATTTAAACAAAATCGAAATAAATCTGCGTTATGTAGATGCGATACTGCCGATACATTGGTTAAATCAATACAATTATATCACCATACGACGATTTATCGCTTATAAGCCGCCAAAATGCGAAACAATGCAGCATGTAGTAGCAGTGTAGATTTCAGATATATCACCACATATGTCGTTAGTTGTGGCATATTCACATATTGTAGATATTTTCGTAGTATATAGTCCATTGTAGATAGTTGAATATAGTTAGAATTTATAGAGTCCGTACTATCGCACATGCCGTATCTATATACTATTTGCGCGCAATTTATTCCTTAGTCACTGGTTGTAGTTTAATACGTACAGTACAATAGCTGCGTCAAATGAAAACTATCCTAGGCCGTAATTAATTTAATCCCTTTCTGGACTTATCAGTCAAGAAATTATGTTTTCACGTCAGGCGTAACCACCGAGGGCACTATACTTCTTAGTCGATCATACTCACGCGACAGAGTCCGAGTGAAGAACAATTTATTTGATAGAACTAGGTCAATTTATACTTAAAATTTACAATATCAATTTACTTTACATAGTATATATACACCTTCTATCATGTTCTCAGTTTTCTGCTGTGATCATTTATATCCAGTGTTGCTTTGAGACGGATGCCTCTTCCTGGTTCCATTATACAGGCATGCTGGAAGCGGTCTATAGAGTTCTCCCATCCAGGCATGCCGAATATCCATCTCACTACCACCGATACGCCACTGCACGAAGATATCTGAACATTGACAATCAAACTGACGGAGTTATTAGATTCATGAATGCACAACTAAGACGGTATACTGTTGCACACTTTGTTTATATATTTCAAAATATTCAAAGCCATAGATTTTAAAATGCATGTTTCAAAATCTTACAAAATACAACCATTTGCGATTATTGCGAATATATAAAAAATACTGATGAAAACGACTTACTCATTTTGCCCGTCTTGAGTTCTGCTTGTTGATTTGCGATATTTTCCCTGAACAGTATCTCTAATACTGTTCGAGTGTTCGGTGCGTAATAACAGGATAGCCCCAGTGCTGTACAATACATTCAGCGTCTTTTCCATCGTACGTAAATTTGGCCTACATTCCAGAATCTGTTTACAGCACCGGTACTACCTCGCGTCGTTTAACAAAGCATCACTACAATCACTACAATGCCCACCTAAAATCAATTCACATGTTAAACGAAACACGCTAATAAATAATAATAATAATATTAAAACTTTATTTAATGAGGGATTACACTGATTACTTAATATAGTATTCTTCCCAATGGCCCTCGATATCTAATAGTAATATATAAAAAGAAAATCCTATTGAGAGTAACATTGACAATGAGTAATATGCTTACAATCGATGCAGCGGAATTTATTAACGTGATCTACTTCATAATTCAATTGAATAAAGTAGGTTTTGAGCTTCTTTTTATAGGAATAAATTGAATGATTTTCAATATCTTTTAATTTGGAAGGTAGGGAATTAAATAGACTTGCACCACTGAAGGAAATTTTGGATTTTGCTTGCGTAGTCTTAACTGATGGAACTTTTAAGTCGAGAAACGCTTTGATCATTTAGCGCATCTGAACATTCATATGAACATTCATATATATGCTAACTTGTGGTTACAAATGTATTTAATAATAGTAATAATAGTATGCTTTAGCGCATCTGAACATTCACATCATTACCAGAAATCATTTTGCGTTCGCAATCGTAACCAGCGGTTTTACGCATAAATGATGATTCATCAAAAAATAAGAAGCTGGGAAATTTGTTGCGCATGCGCCAGATTTCCATTGAAACTTGAAGATCCCCCCGAGGAAATAACGGGTTGTTCGTGGTTGTTGTATATTATAATATTTTTGAATGCCTGTTTAATCTTTATAATTTTTTTGCTCGAGACAAAGACAAAGTAAAATGTACTCTACGTTTCCAGTGTATAAAATATCTCGTTTGTGTTTGAACAGCAATAGACCTTATTCATAAATCGTGATGAGGCCTCGTATCCTAGGAAACGGGGAAAAACGCGGGAAAATTGACAAAATGTTTTTTTTGCTGTCGGCTATGGCGGCTTTCTTCGTGAATATTACGGCTTTTTTCGAAAATAATATCCATAAAACTGAGCTTGAAAGTTAAAAAAAATAACTTCTGAGAAAATATATATATGTTATTTACCGGACTGGAGGTCCGTATAGAGGCCCGAGGCCGAAGGCCGAGGGACGTTTTTAAGACCTAGAGAAATATTTCTCTATACGGACCGACCATACCGGTAAATAACATTTTTATTTTTTTTTAATTCCTCCTCTGGATTTCCCCAATCACTCCTCCCGCACGCGAATGAAGCTGCCAAATAAAACGTCGTTTCTATCAATGCTATCGGGAAGAGAAATATCTTTTGTGAGATAGTAAAATTCGTTTTCACTGTGTTTTTCATCGTCTGCAGACATTTTAATGTTTTAAAAAGTAGCCTTTAAACTCGTCTTTAAATTTTGAAAAACAAAAACATTGGCTCTACGGCTTTAAATCTCGCGCGGTCCGTACAGGCTCATACGGACCGCTCACGTAGCCAATCAGATTGCAGAAAAGCGTAAAATATGACTTCGGACCGCAAGAAAAAAAATAAAACATGATATTTAAAGCAAAAGATGCTGGAGTCAATCGAAAAAGGAAACCTTTGACTTTGTATTATTGTCAACTTTGTATGGCCAAAACAAACAACTAACAAGGCTACGAAACGTCTATACAACACCAAAATCGTAAGAAATATGAAACTATTGTTGACGAAACAGGATTACAACTCACTCAGGTAATGTAGCCTTCATTTTTTAAACTTGTAAGCTGCTTGCAGAATGTTATCGAGCCCCACAGCCATAGTTCATATTTTTCCGTACGAATCAATAACATTTGACGTTCTCTGTGATTTTTGACCTGTTGTTTTCTTTCATATTACTGTCAAATTTGAAAAATTATACTTTCATTCCATAGTTGCCTTTATATTGACGATAAAATCTCAGTAAAATACTGTTTTTCGCTTCTGGATAAACACCATCGCTACGTTGTCATTTTTTCCACACAAAAATGGGATAAAAACCGGTCGCTTTTATAATATACTCGTTTACCGCTTTCGTTGTGGCCACAAAGTCTTAAAATACACACAAAAATCGTTATAAATCGCAAAAAGCAACAAGAAACAAGCGGTTAAAGTCGACACAATAGCATCTGAATTTGGCTTGTCAAGCAGTTTTCGCTTGTTTTCCCGCGTTTTGTTCCCGTATCCTAGGATACGAGGCCTCGTCACGATTTATGAATAAGGTCTATAGAATATTATAAACTTGACACAAACAAGAAGACATTTGACACTCTAAATCTGTAGTCATGCCTGCCAATCGTCGCGAGCTTGACAGCTTTGTCAAACGCAAAACAAGTACCAATTTGGGTTTAAACAGAAAGAAGTTCAATGTTAATACCACTAACATATATTCTATAGAAATACGGGTGGTTTAAAATGTTTTGAATGGTGGTTTAAAATGAATTATCAAAGCTTTTATCTATCGACATGATAATCAAACTGTGAAAATTCCGGCTTTTGTTGACGCTTGCGAATGCAAAATAACTTCTCGTAAACAGAGCATTTCTACACAAAACTCTCGCTTAGTCTTCTAATGCACTTGTATGTTCGGTTCTACTAGTTAAACAAGGAAAATATCGAAGAAACACTGGTAAATTATCGTTGTCAAAAAACATTCAGTGCTGAGGGCTGAGGCAGTACAAGGACAAGGACAAGGTCTCAAGGGCAAGGTCAAGTTATCGATTTCATTACATTTTACAGTAGTTCGAATGTTTTCGAACTCTTATCTCATACAAGAGAAGTAAACGCACGCATTTCAAAGCGAAATTAGACGCAAAGGGGCAATTTTTCAACAAAATTCATTGTTAAATTATGTTTCCTATGTGCCTTGGGAGCAAAACAATATGATTTTAAATTTGGAGATTTCGGTAAATTTTTTTGCAATTTGGCCTGGTATTGCACCCTACCAATCTACTAACTGTGCTGTAAAAGTAATCAAATATACTATTTTTAATTTCCTTTCATTGAAAGGATCTACTATTGTGGACTAAACTAAATTTTAATCAGCATACAAGGCTGCAAACAACAGCCAAGAATTAGCTGGGTAGTTCGCAAACTTTAAAACTAATTGGACCTCAAACTTTGATCTCCAGAAGTAAACAAATAGACAATACTGCGAACATAATCCAGGTTTTGATCACGAGGGGCAATTTTTAGATGTATAAAAACTTGTTTAAATTACATAACAAACTAAGGCAAAACAAAATTTGGTATTAATTTTTTGGTGAAATCGTCAAAGTTTTTTGGTATTCGCCCACGCTTCTACACCCCCTCTCCCAGGATCTTCTCTATCAGAAAACAGTTTCCTGCAGAAACTTTGCTTTTTATCGCAAAAATCTTTATTTTTCTCAAAAAATACATTATAAACACGGAAACCTTAAATATTTAAACAATTTTCATACCTTTTTGGGATTGAAGGTGTAGGTATACGGCTTCTCAAATTAGCTGCCCCTGTAATTTCAGAATCGCTCAGCAGAATAATTAATTCCTGCATAATAACTGGAAAATTTCCAACAAAGTGGAAAGAGGCGAGCGTTACACCTATCTACAAGGGTAAAGGTTGTAAAAGTGAAGCCTCAAATTACAGGCCCATATCAGTGTTGTCCGTCTTGTCTAAGGTGTTTGAAAAGCACATTGCGTCATCATTGCGTGCTCACTTGAAGGAGAACGCCTTGTTGTATGGATTACAATCCGGCTTCCGGAAGTCATTTTCCACTGAAACTGCATTAATAAGGCTTTTGGATCAGTTGCTTTTCAACCTTGATGAAAACTGTGTTAGCGGTCTGGTCCTCGTTGATTATAAAAAAGCATTTGATTTAATAGACCATAACATCTTGATTAAAAAGCTTTTTTCATATGGAGTACATGGCCAGTCTCTGGAATTGTTCAAAAGTTATCTTTCTGATCGATCCCAATATGTCAATGTGGACGGTGTTAAGTCATCCTCTAGGCCTGTCGAATGTGGTGTGCCCCAAGGATCTATACTTGGGCCCATTTTATTCATTATATTTATTAACGATTTTCCAGATCAGATTAAACATTCTGTTGCTAATATTTATGCTGATGACACGACGCTTAGCTATGCACATGATTACTCTTCTGCCCCTCAGTCAATTACGCTTGAATTACAGAAGGACATTACAAATCTTGCAGATTGGTCAAGAGTTAATCATATGGTTTTGAATGAAGAGAAAACTAAAACTCTTCTGATCGCCGGAAAGCGCCTGAAGAAGAAATTGGACACACTTGATATTGATCTTATGCTGAATGGGAAAAAACTCCAACAAGTCACCTCGTTTAAATTGCTTGGAGTTACGCTCGATGATGAACTGAGCTTTGATATACATGTTGACAATATATGTAAGAAACTATCTCAACGAATCGCGGTACTCTGTAAAATAAAGCGTTGCCTCCCATTTAGAGAACGCTGTCTTTATTATAATGCTATGATAAAGCCTATCATTTTCTATGGTTCAGCTGTTTGGACAACAACCTCGAAAGAAAACCTAAACAGAGTTTTTGGGTTACAGAAAAGAGCAGCTCGGGTTATATTAGATTTGGACATGTCAGCGCGAACAGTTAACATGTTTCAGCAACTAAACTGGATACCATACTACGACGAAGTGAAGATTCCTAAAGCAACAACAGCCTATAAACGTATAAAGAATGATTCTCCGAACTATTTAGATGATATGCTGAAACTGAATTCTAGTGTAAATAGTAGATCCACTAGATATTGCAATTTAAATTTCCTATGCCCTAAATACAAGCGTGAAACCGAAGGTGGTCGTACATTTGCCGTTTCGACCATAAAACAATGGAACCAGCTGCCTAAGACTGTGCGTGATAAGGGGACGGTGGCTTCGTTTAAACACAGCATGAAACAGCTTTTTAAAGAGAGCTATGAAAACATCGATCATTTTACTATATAATCTTTGGATTTTAGACGTATGTATATATAGTATTTCATAAATTTAGTACTTAGGTTTAATGTTATTTGAAACACAGCATGAAACAGCTTTTTAAAGAGAGCTATGAAAACATCGATCATTTTACTATATAATCTTTGGATTTAGACGTATGTATATATAGTATTTTATAAATTTAGTACTTAGGTTTAATGTTATTTGTATAATCCATTGAGAGCCACAAATTTATCAGTGCAAACTGGCATGTGTAACTCTCGTTAAATAAAGTCTTCATTCATTCATTCATTGAAAAAAGCAAAATTTGATTCATTATCCCACTTTTTAAAATATATGTGACAAAGTTGCTTCAAAATCACCATCACGCAGTAGCATGTTTATTTACCCTCATCCTTTTGACTGAATAAAGTTTATCGTTTTGAAAAGCTATTTGTTTTATAGCTCTTGGTTATCAGTTTACGTTTATGTCGATTTTGGCACCCATGAGACCAACAAGTTGTGGTAATCCGCGAATCAAAATGGATATTCGAAGAGCACAAAAGCCAACTCGTAGCTATGTAACTTTATCGCCTGAATTTTGAATCAATCCAAAATTAAAATGCTGATAATGTAGATGCTTTCCATACTTGCGATGTTAGTGAAGTGTTTCCTACAATTTAGTTTCCTGTATCGCCGTCTTAAAAATGCAAAATCATCAGTTGAAATTTCACTCGTGTTGTTTTTTCAAATTTTCGAATTTTTGTAAAATATCGCGTGCGCCAGCAATTTCTCTGCACAGCGACAACAAATTTCCCAGCTGCTCAAAAAATACAAACAAAATGGCGGCTCATAGTCTTCAAAGACAAATCGTGTTGATAATATATTGAAGAGGAATAATATATTAACTAATGTAAGATTGTCTGACATTTTTTACAACAGCAGAACCAGTATTTGTGGCACGATCGAAGAAGTATTTTCCAAATTTGACGCGTTACGCACGTATAGTAAATGTATTTAGCTGAGAAATGTGCATAAATTTGCGTGATGGGCAGGGTAAGAGACTGGGAAGAGCATAATTAATTTAAAAACAAACGTAGTTGTGCTGATAAAAATGGCCTCTTGTAGCATGTATGGATGAATAAAATAGCTAAGTTTAGAGGATTTTGGAAGTAGTTTCCTGCGGAATTTAGATACATTCGTTGGCGAGTATATAAACTTTGAATGTTATTGAAACAATTGCGATGCCAAGCTCAAGATTTCGCTAGATATATTTCCGTACACCAGGCTGCGTTTGTGGCGTGTATTGTCAGATTCACATTCAACATAAGGAGTTATTATGCTGGTGAATGTGATATCAATAGTGAGCTCGGGAAGTGAGTGTATTTTATTCTAGAAATAGTTGTTAGAATTAATAGATTCCTGAATCAGCATAACATGTGAAACGATGCCAAGTAAGCGTGATTTGCGGCTCATTCGTGCGATATTTGAGAAAGTTCTTATATGCCTATACTAATCCCAGCATTATCGGACGCCATTTTGTTGCGTAATTTTTTGTCATGTCCACCATCTTGACCCACATTTCTGGTAATGTGCTAATTTGCGCTTTAAATGCTAATTCGCGCCTTACAAATGTATTTAATAATAATAATAATAATAATAACATTACACTGCTTTGTTAAACTTACCATGAACTAATATAACAGCTATGGTTTTCGTAAATCTCGCCTGAAGACCGTCTTTGTCTGTTTCGTCTTCCTCATAGTGATTAGTCACTATCAGCAACTGGCTCGAAATGATAAGGCTGTACAACAGACGATTGCGGCTCAACAACGTCCTCGTTATCTGTTGACTGTTCTGTATCTCTCTGTGATTCAAAGCTTTCGCTATCGGACATTTTTCGCGTTTTAAAGGAAAAATATACAAGCTACTGTCTTGCGATTAGTGATATTTTGTAGTCTTTATTCAGGGCTTCGATTTGTCACACTGCATACGTCACAAGGCCGGAACTTTCGGAACCAGTCAGTTCATCAGGTTACGATTCAAAATAGCTGTATTTTTCGCACATTTTAGGTCATTTTCAATACGTTTAGAGCGCTTTTACTAACTACATATTTTTTACCTAGTCAAGGGAGGCCATTTCTTTCCAAAATTTGAAATTTTAATTTTTTCATTTTTCCTTGCATATACACTTTTCTTTAAGTTATTTTCCATACTAATAAATTTAGATAAGATTGTCTTGCAAGTGGGTTGTTCTGACAGTATTATCCTAACAATATCCAGTACATTTATTCCTCCTTCTTGTATTAATCTCTCAACAAAAACATTTATGTTAGAAAGCAAAATGACAATGTAATGAGGAGGCAGGGTGGGATTTTTGCTGACGCAGCGAGCGAGCCTTAAGCGAGCGAGCAAGTCAGCAGTTCTAATTCATATTGGGCTCTGAAAGTAAGATTTTACTTCCGTTTCTCCGACCAGAATGCATTGCTGTTAACCGACCAGAATGCATTGCTGTTAGCCGACCAGAATGCTTTGCATGCACGATGCTATAAATACGGGGAATCTCATTAGTCAGTTTATATAAGCCTGTAACGATGCAGTTCTTTTGGGGTATTTTGTATTTCATTGTATGCCTGGTCTGTTGATTTCTGGCTGGTCTTACGCTATATATACTGAATTTGTTTATTACAAACAATTTATAACGCTTCGAAAGCGAATTTATGCGTTTGTGCCCTTTGCCTTATTTTCTTTTGTCTTTTCTTATTTCATGTAGCACTTAGCAGTAAAATCAACATTGTATTTGCACGTCTGAAAGCGTTCATTTCAAGCATTAAAAGCGAATCAATTATTGTTCGTCAGTTTCACTTTGCTATCATTGAAACATGATCAGGGTTTAGGTTGTAGACCTTTTGTTTGAATATGATTTGACAATAAAGTAATTGACACGGAGACATGGCATGAACAGTCCGGCAACTGCTAACTATGTTTATAGCATGGCGTTTTAAAAGAACGATGCTTTGCGTGCTATTTCATGGGTTAACTAAATGTACTTTGGCTGCCGAAAAGCACATTACACTATACTCAGTGCATACACAACATAGTTTAATTTATGCATGGGCATTGTTTTAGCATGCAACCCAGCCAGGGGAAAGTCAGTGGGATCGTGCATGGGATTGAAGTATGTGCATTGAATATTTTTTATAATTGATCATGCTTTTGTTATTGCATGTGTCGAAACATTAAAAACAATGTTCTCAACTCTACAGGGTGCATCAAAAAACCTGGAAACCTTTGAAGTACAGGGTGTCTCCCAAAAAAATACCCTCTATAGAAATTATCATATTGTTATAATTTAAATGCCTGAGCATTATGCTGAACACAAGAGCGCGTAAACACAATTGAATTACCAGGAGAATGAAAAATCCTGGGCTTAACAACAATTGGGACACCCTGTACAATGTTTTTAGAATCTGCATGATTCAGAACTAATTGATCGCAAGAATGCGTAAACACAATAGTTGACCATTCGCAGTCGAACTGATAATTAGTTTTTAGCGTTACAAATAACTTTTTGTTATTCTAATTTCTATCAACGCGGTTAGTTAGAATGTATTTTCAAATCCCAGGAGCAAAATAAGTAGCACAAACATTGAAATGCTGGTAAGCAGCAGAATTATGCAAATCATAGTGTTTGCAGGTTTTTTGATACACCCTGTAATTTTCGAAGTAACGTGGCTTTTTAATTTGACGTCTTTGGGTGCAAGTTTTGCTCCATGACCATGTTGTTCGATATTCAATTCTTAAACGATCGACTTCACTTCAGTAAAATCAAAAGAAAGGCAATTTGGCGAAGAAGTATATTCAACCAAAGTAAAATATCAGCTAAGCAATTTACTTTACTCTTTCTTAGCCTGGTTCACAAATATTCCTGCGCAGTGGCGTAGCCAGCCCGACAATTTAGTCCCGCTATGCAAATTCAAAATTATTATCATTATTCATTTCTTTAGAAATTGCTTGTTTTTACAGTCAATGAACATGAAAATATTTGCATAGCGGGACCAAATAGTCGGGCTGGCTACGCTACTGTTCCTGCGGTATACCTGCGCTATCATTGTTCACAGCTTTTTAGAGCAGTTGTTGTCAATAGCCCGCCGACATACCGCAGGTGTAAGTAGCCTAGGTTTTATCATGTGAACCGGGCTTTTATATTTACTAGCCATTTAAAAGTCCGTGCTTTATCAGAACAAACATTCGAGCTCCGCTCACGTGTTTTATATCTGACAAAGCACTCCTGCTCGCTTTTTAAATACTACATACCGGACAGTCCGCACTTACGGTACAGTGGTGGTCTTGTGATAGTTTGAAGTATATGTGTGGTCTTTAATAGTGATACATTGTATCGTTGTTGTGTAATTAAAAGCATTGAACAATCTGTGTGCTCTTAAAATAAATATTGGCTGATATTGTGGTCCATAGTGAAAAGGTTCCAAAAATGGGTGCAAGTTTCCATACTATTGTCGTTCTGATGTCACAGATATTAGAGTAACGGTAGGATAGAAAAATTTAAAAAAAGTTTATGGTTATAGATTCTCATGTTTCGCGCACAATAAAGCTAGCGTTAGGGATGGGTTGTGATTACGGTCAAGATCAAAGATATATATTTGTGATCGAAACAAGGATTTATTCACATTTATAATAATGACGTCACAACGATTAAGTTAGTGTTGAGCTTACTGTCAGTTACGATGGGTAATAGGAGCTCACGAGATTGTATTTAAACTGGGGTGCGTTGTTAATTTGGAAAGATGAGGCCGCCGTTTTTTTATATATCGTCAAATTAAAGAGCAAGTCAGCATTTATACTACTGATAAGTATACTAGTTTATTTAATAGCACTGACTGACTTAGGAATGTTTGCAAAAATTTTGTTTAATTGACTGTAATGTGTAAAACCAAAATGTGTAAGTAGTTTAACTGATAATAGTTTAACATTTGCTCTAGCACCACATTCGATGACAGCTTAGTTGGACTGTTGTTTTGAAAAGAGCTACAGAAATACAGGACCAGGATTTAATTCAATATCTTTTGAGAACATTAGTTTCCTGTGATATTGTTCATTGGCAATATAATGCCTGCTATGTTTTGATTGTTTAAAATATTACACAATGTAATAAAATAAGTGGTACTTGAATACATACCGATGAGGATAAGTTTCCATGTTGATAGATAACTTTGGAATAATATCGCAAGTAGAATGGTGAAAACAAGACAGCCAAATTCAAGACAAAATCAAGATTATGTTTGAAGCCAAAATACTATTGTTCCCAGTAAACTGCGTTTTTCAGGCGGTTTGCCAGTAACAGTTTAGTCAATTACGAAGGACATATTTGTGTACCTCGTGATCACAATTCGTTGCAAGCGGCGTGTGAAAAACTGCAAGTTTCAGTTTGACAGGTCTGGCATTTAAATGGTTTCTAATTTTATTGTCCAATCAGGTGTGTAGTTTTGATTTAAAATTCAAAGCTATACGCATCTGATTGGACAATGAAATTAGAAACTCATTTAACTGTCAGAACTGTCAAACTGAAACTTGCAGTTTTTCACACGCCGCTTGCAACGAATTGTGATCACGAGGTACACAAATATGTCCTTCGTAATTGACAAAACTGTCACTGACAAACCGCCTAAAAAACGGGTCGTTTCGCAGTTTACTGGGAGCAATAGTATGGCAAAGAATAACACGAGCCACGAGGCCCAACTACGCCCGTTCGCAGGTTAGATGCGAGCCCGATGTAAACAATTGATGGAAGCTAATCGCTGATTGGCTTAATTATGTAAGCTCGTCGCTGAATGGCTATGGGTAACATTAACATTAACGGCACGTTTGCGGTAGCAATATATCAGCTTCGCAGATAGGAAAATAAGGATATTAATAATAAAAGTGAACAAAACTATCCACATTAATATCAAATGCATATGATGCTATTGAAGCCATGCAGACTTTGTTTTATACAACAACAAGAAGTGGTCGAATCACTGCAAATACTACCAACTGGAGAGCAGCTCAATATCGTAATTGGTGATAAATGTGTTGGTCAAGCCAAGTGGAATTATATATGTCAATACAGTGCCGGTGTATATTTATAATGTTCCCACCTGTAAGTGTTTTTATTATAAAAGTTTATTTTCCCAATTTAGATTCGGTGGGCGGGTCATGAAATAAAGTTGATAAGATTAGATGGGCTTTGAAATTTTTATCTACATCCTAAGATGGGTCACCAAACTTATTGGCCAAATTTGTGCATTACCTCTCGCCCACCTAGCAGTTACTTTATGATCAGTCCCTTACCATGTTGATCGTCATGGTCAACTTGCCC